TCCTTCTGCTTGGCACCTTAGCTGTTAGGAGACCCTGCAGCTCTAGGCTTTGAGGACAAAAGAAGTGAAACATGAGCAGTAAACAGAATCACTACGAATGTTCTTGTAACGTTGGTGTCCTACATAGGCTGAGGCAACAGCCTTTTCTCAGTAGTAAGGGCTGCTTTCGCAGGTCAGGGCTGGTCTGGCAAGCTTCATCCTCTTTTCTTGGATGTGAGAGTCTCCTCTTGCTCCTTCTGCAGAGCCGCTGGCCTGAGAACAAGCTCTCCAGCATTGGACAAGGATGGGTCAGGTCAGCTGTGGTATGATCCATGGCACGTAAACAGGGGTGTGTTTCCTGGTAGTTAGAGGTGTCTGGCCTTAGTCAGGGTGGTGTGATAGTACATAAATATTTATTAATGTTCATCTAGAGTGACGTGCATAACTTGCCCTTGGCTTCAGCGTTTGCCAGCAGAGGGCTTGTCCCAGACATATCCTGACTTAAAACTATCCAGTTCTTCCTCTCCTTGCGAAAAATCTTCTAGAAAAAGGACCATGCTTCAGTATTCCTCCCCGAGACTGACCACAGCAGCATCTTGAAGAAATGTGTTGATTTTTACATCTGCCTCAGACCTGAGGCAGCACCTGCCACCCCCGGCCCACCAAGCTTTCTGTAAGAGTGCGTAGTGGATGGGAACGAGGAAGCACAGGACTGACTGCCTGCTGCAAGCAGCAAGGCTGTCTGCACATTTCCTTCATGATAAGGGTGGCAGCACTTGAAGCCCCCAGGGTATGGGGCAACAGGGAGAGGCAGAAGCTAGTGGCTCTGGCTGAATTTCTGCTCTCTGCTTTGCTCCCCACATGCAGATTTTGCTCAGTTCAGGAGCTGTTAACCTTGCAGCATGTTAATAACCTGTTTAGGTGATGTTTTTTCTTGACGGAAGTTGTGATCTTCCTGTTGACCGTAGACAGGAGGGATGGTCATCTAGTACCAGGGCAGTACCAGTGTCTGACCAGTGTTTGTATGATGTTCCCTGAAAGAGCTGTCCCTTATGCAACTGCACTGTCAAAGAACTTACCATGTGTTTTCCGTATGTTCTGCCATCTGTATCTTTTGTCAGATTAAGCTCTTTGTAGCCAGGGCTGTCCTTTCATTCTGTGTCTGTATAGCACCCAGCACAGAAGAGGACTGTGCCCTGTAGCCAGGGTTCCCGGGCCCTTCCAATGCCAAAGGTTAATGCTGTGAAAGTCTGGCTTGAAATCTTCTACTGTTCTCTTGAACTTGCATAAAGATCTCGTCCTTTCTTGCCATGGGGTATGCTGTATGCCCACATATTTGGGAGAACAGCTCTGTGCAATTTGGAAGCTTTGCTGTTGGTGCTTAACGGTTGGAAGACAAACAGGCAATTTTCTTGGCTTATTCAATGCTACAAAAATATTTCTGTCTTTCAAGAGGCCTTAGCAGTGAAATTTTACCAGGCGTAGCCAATAGAACGTGCGTGAGTTTTTCTTATTGCCATCTTGAGCTCTTACATCCTGGTACTGTGACGATCCCCAGTTGCCTTAGTGATGGATGTCTGGTGATCTCATGTGCGGGCAGAGAGAGTGCTTTTCACCCTCCAGTGGTGGGTATGTAGAGTTTAGTCTTTGTTCAGCTCTTTCAAAATAGCAGTTGGAATTGGCACGGCAGTGTATACCCGTGCCGCCTGCCTCACGCTCCCCTCAGTGCCAGCTGTAGCCACTTGGTCCCCTCCGGTTTGGAGTCCCTGAGCTGCTGAAATCAGGAGTGCTGTTTTGCTAGTGAGGAAGAACCAGCAAAAAAGTGTAGATGCAGACTGGGCTGTGTGAACAGTTCCGGTTCACTTTACATGGAGGCCAAGGATAAACTGTAGCTGGGCGCTGCAGCAAAGGGGAAAGTCTTTCCTCAGTGAGCACAGCTACGGTTTGGGAGAGCTGCAGGGGAAGAATGAGGCTTGTAAAATCCAACCTGTAGTATGAAATGCAAGTGTGCAGACACTGCTAGTGAAAGGGGGGAGGAAACCTGTCTGCAGTGCCGTAGCTGGCATGAACCTGGGTGCTAGGCTTGCATCTTCAGTCAGGGTCTCTCTGAAGTGCCTCTGATGGCACTGTGGGTCTGTGCTCTCCTAGTCCCTGCTCTGTCCATTCTTACTACGCTTTCTTGTTATTTCTGTGATATACTTAGGGTTTACTTAGATTAGACTAAACCCAAATTAGATTAAAAATGGTATTTATAGCCATTCCTTGCTGCTTGGTGTTGAGGATATTTTGTTGAGATACATGATCAACATCTAAGTCCCACCCCAGGCTGAGAAGGGTATAGGTGACTGTCACCTATTTCTTGTACGAGAGCTCTAGCTCCTGAACTATTGGAAATGATCGTTGCACAGTTTGACATGAGCTCACGTTCAGGGTGTTTAAAAGCAGGGTTGCTCCTCCTGATTTTCATCCTTGCTTGGGCATGAGATAGTTGTCGAAGCAGTTGGCTCACCAAGGCTAGGATAAGACTGAATGTGCTCCTTAGCAGAGCTTTAGATGTCCTGGAGACTTCTGCCTGAATCTTCAGGTGCCTAAACAGCTTAGGTAAGGTTGCCCTGAACTGCTTTCCTGAATGAAAGCAGGAAAATGTCCTGAAATGGACATCTCCTGGGCAGAGGAGGAAGTGAAGTTGTTATAGAAATAGTTTGACCCTAGGTTTCCGAGGAGCAGAGTCTCACGTACGTCTAGCAGTGGAATTAATTATTTATTTAAATTATGGTACAGCAAAGTAACAGCTCGAACTGGGTGCCTCCGGGGAGGGACCCTGAACAAAAAAGTTTGGGGGTAATTATACTCCTTACAGTCTTATTTCCCTGCCTGCCTGGGGCAGTCTCTTTCAGTCTTCTTTACTGAGTCGGTGGTCACTTTCCTCTTGATTGGTTCACGTCTACATCCCAGGACGGTTGCTGTGTTCCTGCTTCATAGTGCCTTATCTTATCTGAAGGTTAACCGTTACCTCTGTCCGTTGTGTGCTGTATCTTTGAGGGCTGGTTCTAGCTGGTTTTGCAGTCGCATCCTCAGCGACGTCTTTCGAGCTCATTTACAGTTCAGTCCTGTGGCCTGCAGGCTTCATCTGCTTTAGGCACTGGTGCTAAGCTGGGCTACAGCTAAGTTAGCTCCCTTTTCTAACAGAAGTGCTTTAGGTGCTTGCTGTAGCAAAGATACTTGCCTGTTGAAGGGACCCAGCTGCCCCTGGAGCAAAGCAGCATGTGCAATCATTGCACTGTGGTAACCGCTAATCAGCTGTGTCTGGCAGGGAGGATCCCAAGGCCCTGGCCTGTCCAATTGGAAAGGCCAGGTGCTGGGCACATAGGCAGGTGGGAGAGGAGAGCTGCAACTATGGTGCATCAGACCTGAGACTAGGGAGGGCTTTAGAGGTGCTGGCTCGTGCCCTGGATTCATTCTGAACGTGTAGTCAGCAAGACCTGGAAGAAACATGCCACAGCAGCAGCCTGACCTGTCTTAGTCTAAGGCACGTGCAGTCCAAGCCCATCAGGGGATAAAGGACAGCTGTTTTAAAGGTGGGATCCTGAGGCACTGACATGTAGCTGGTACCTTATCCTACTGTGTTGAGCTGTGTTCTTGCTTGGCTGCTGCTTCCCTTTTTCCTTTAATGTTATGCTTAAACCATTTTTTCCCTGCTCTCAAGGTTACGTTTTCCAGTGACCAGTAATTGAGCATCAGTGAGCTGTTTATAGCTCTGGGGCTTTTGTTTTATAGTAACCTTGTTTTCAAGGTCTTTGTTGTTATTCTGTGCTTAAACTCTGTATATATAAACAAGAGACACCTGATGCCATGCTCTCATTCACACACCAAGTTCTTGCAATGTTTTCAGGCTGATAACAAGTCTAATAGGCCCTAGTTCTGAGGCCTTGCAACGTTAGCGTAAGGCCTGTGACCTGTCACTAGCAATGATAATTGCTGCATTTACTGGACCATCAGGCAACAAAGTGCTTTGGAAGATGAGCCAGTGTGGGATGCTGCTCACCACAGTGTGATCCACGTAACTACTTGCCTCGTGTGTTCCCTGTGTAGCCCTTCCTAGACTAACAGTAATGCAAGAAGCCAGCATCCCAGGAACAGCATACACGCAGGGAGCACAGCCCAGCCACCTCTAGTACTTCCTCTTCCCCCATCTTCCTGCTGTTTTGGATTATGGTGGGACTGGAGGGCCCTGTAATAAAGCAATGAGTGTAGGTATTGAAATTCTTGTGGAAGCTCAAAGAGCACACAAGTCTTTACATACTGCCTGTTGTGTGTATCGGCGATTATGAGCTCAGGAGGAAAATGGGTTAGAAGTGTGAGAATAATGTAGAAAAAAATCTTTTAATGTGATGGTTGCTCCCCCCACCGCGCACACACACTCTTCACTTAAGTTTTTTTCTTGCTTCTACAATAGATTTAAAAATATATTCTCTCAGGACAATAGCTATTGTAACTACAGATCTATGGTAACGAGAGAGGTCTTTCTTGGCAAGGGCCTCTTTGGGACTAAGGCACTGTACCAGAGAGTGTCTGGCAATGTACAGCAGGAAGAAGGAAATGGCTAAAACCCAGTCCTGCCTGGGGCAAAAAAAGAAAGAGTTAGGAGACTTAATGAGTCTCAACTTCCAGAGTCAAGATCCTAAAGCTATGCTGCTGCCCAGCACTGATGGTCACAAGCTGCATTTGCTTAACATGGATTTAGGAGTAGAACTTTGTAATCCCTGGGGTCTCATTTAAGTCACTTCACTTCTGTGTGTGCTGTACTGTTTTACCAGACAGAGTAATGCTCCCCTGTCTTGGGGGATGATTGGGGTGGTAGGAAGCTGTGAAGGGTTGATGACTGAACCTGAGATTTAGCTGAAAATCTCACTGCAGCAAAATTGTCCCTATGAGCAGAATTTGCATTTCTTTTGCAGTGTCCCTCTTGTCCGTGTGGGGCTTGCAGGGTGGTAACTTTTTTTTTTTTGGTCTGAACTGTCACAGCCAGATGTTTCTAACTTCTTTTCTAACTTCTTTTTTCCTTCCAGCGGATCGTTGTAAAGAAGTGCAGCAGATCCGAGAGCAGCATCCAAACAAAATCCCAGTAAGTGCCAGTTCTTGCTCTTCTGCATTTGACTTCATTCTCTTGACCACTTTATGCTACTGAATAGCCTCCACCAACCAGCCACTGAGGTTGTAAAGCTTTGGTCTACAGAATCAACGCAGGAGGCTCTCCATGAGTCCCCAATTCCTTGTTCGTCCCAGCTGCTCAGTAGTAGACCTCATTCTCAGCAGCGCAAAATGCTATCTTTCTCTTAAGCTCGATGCCTGTCCTAGAGCGAAGGAACTGATTTGGTGTCAAATCTCCTTCTAAGCTAGTGCAGCAGGGGAAGATTCTGAAATGCTCAGTTTTTTGTTGCAGTAGCTAGCTGACTTCTGCTGAATAACCTGGTGAGGATTTCTCTGCATCTATTCTATTCTGCATTCTATTCTTCTGCAGAGAAGAATGCATGAGAGGATCTTCATTGTATTAAAAACAAGGAGAATCTTAGGATAATTCATACCACAGCTAAACAGTGACACCAGTTCTGTGCTGGCCCACACCTGCTATTGCTATTTGTAGGTGAGACTCCATGAACTGCCTCCAATTCTTACGGCCCATCTCAGGCCTAATATGTTGTCTCGCTCCCTCTGCTCTTGGCTGTGAATGTATTTTCTCTGTCCTAGCTGAGTATTTGGGAAGATGGAGACCTCAGAGAAATAATGTCCTCAGGGCTTGCTCAAAGTTAGTATTTGCAATACCAGAGCTTGTATGACCCCAAAAAGTGGGATCAGTTCCTAGTCTAGCTGACTCTAGGCGTTGGCTGTGCATCAGCCTTGTCTCAAAATTGCATCTGCCTACAGTCTCTCCTTCACTGTTGAGCCTTCAAGACTTACTATCTCGAGCTCTCTTCTTGGCATGCGCGAGTCCATTCCTGCCTTGCTCTTCTGCTGATTTTAACATAACATCTTCTAGCAAAAAGTGTTCTTTTTCTTCTTCCCCCCCTGCATTGTCAATGTGATGTCCTTGCATTGTCAGCTCAGCAGAGCAAGACTTGTCCCATGCAGCACGCTCTTGCTTGAATATCAGTATACCGCATCATCTATGCATTTATTGACTGCTATGCATAAGACAGGATTCATGACACTAGGCTGGCTCTGCGTTTTTCCAAAGTTGTGGCAGAGCTAGTTACAGTGCCTCAAGGCTCTAATAATGAGGAGAGGCATATATCAAGTGCCCATACACAAACACATGTTGCCTGGGAAACAAACAGAAGGAGCCAGAGCTCTGTATCCACATGCAGAATTTTACTGGCATCACTGAAACTTAGTGGGAGAGCCTCCACAGCTGGAGTGTTCTTTTTCTATGTTGAGAACAAACAGCAGGTGCCCCAGGGGATGACTTCTGTTTCATCAGGCCTTGGCCGCCAATGTGATTGTTTGGGAGTCCTGTGTGTGCAAGGGAGTTTAGCTCTTGAAGGACCTCAACCCTCCTACACCTGCTCTAGTGACTTCTTTGTTCTATGCCTTAACATCCTTAACATTGTCCTGAGTGCCAGCAGTGTGAAGGGACAAGGGAATCCCCTGGATTTTTGTACACTACTGGGGAGTTGGATAGGTGCTTTCCCTCTTGACTAACAGGCATGGTTGGTGCTTGGCTTTTCTCTGTATGATGGGACAAGGGCCCTAGAGAAGGCTCTACCTTTGTGTGTTGATGTGAGGGAGGAGCAACTGAATTCCTTTCAAAGGCTGCATGGTCTCATTATCTGTATTTCATCCTCCTCTGCAGAGCTAAATGAGCCCTTTGCTGTCAGTTCCTCCTGACTGACACAACGAGGGGAGAGGGGATATATTTAGCTGCAAGCTTGCTAGAACAATAAAAATAAGCGGAAGAGAAGGAAGAGTGCCTTGGGTGTCCAGCTGTGGTTCTGTGCTTGGTATCTGTAACTGTTTGATCCTGATTAGACCCTGACACCAGGTTTGGTGCCGTCTCTTGTAACGTACACAGCCTGTAAGTCACTGGGCTTAGTTTTCAGTGCCAGGCTGTGAGTAAAGCCACGTGCTACGAAATGGACCAGGGTACGGGGGAAAGCTGTGGTTCAGAGCAGTGTAGCGCAAGGGAATTGACCGTAGGAAAGTCTTGGTCTTTTGTGAAAAATGGGAGCTGTTTTTGCCAAGTGACTGGCTTGCCTGGAGAGGCCTTTGGAATGAGCAAGGGGGTTTGGAACCCACAGCCCAGGGTGAGTTTGGGGAGAAGAGGCAAGATATTGCCTCAAGCCACACCCTTGCTGCTGGTCCAGACTATGTAGCAGACTGCATCTGATATAGCCATGTAGCAATCAACAGTGTAGCAGCTGCTGCCCTCCCTCTTCCTGCATCTCCAGTTGCTGCTCTGGGCCTTGGGTGAGTTTCTCTTTGCTTTGACAGAGGGCCAGGAGGATTGCAGAGTGCTTGGCTTGGCTTTGTGCCTGGTATTTCTCTCCTGTTTCACTGAGAGTGCTTTGAGAGGATGCTGAGCAAGGGGCTGTGCCATGTACATGTAGGGGGGCTGAAAGAGCAAAAACACCTGGCTTTCCCTGGTGTATATGAGTACCTTCGTGGGCCCCTATATGCTGCTTGTGCTGCTCGTCAGGTTCTTTTTGTCCTGAATGGGCTTTTCAGAGGGCGTCTCGTTAAAGAGCTTCCGTTAAAGAGCTTCCCTCACGACCGCTTGCACCTCTCCTTTGTCTGGGAACTCTCTGTGATATAAGGTCAGCCCATCCTGGTGGGCTGTTTGAGCACTCATCAGATGCTCCCAGCTCACTGGTGATGTTGCAGCATCCTGCCAAAAGTATTTGATTGACTTTGAAGACAGAGCCTGGGAATTCTGCCCAGGTGGCAGGTGCCTTTTCCACTCCACATGTGGTCCTTCCCTGCACTCTCTCTCCATGTTGGCTAGCTCTAGGTCAGGTTTTTAGAGTAAGGTAATAACAGGGTATGAGGAAGAGTCTTGTTTGAGTTGTGTTTGTGTTCCAGGCTCTGTGGACTTGGAGTCCAACTGCGCTGCAGCAGTGGGTGTTGCTGAGCAGCTGTTCTGTGGGCTCTTTTCTCTTGAAGTGTCCCACTGCCCCGGTGAAGGGAGCTCTTGCATGTGGAGGCTGTGACAAAGCTATGTAATGAGCCAAGTGACCTCTTGGTGCTGCCTCTTGGGGAGAGCTAGTGCTGCTTGGGTAAAGCGCAATGTCCCACTGTTCCCCTGCCTCTTTGCTGGCTTTTGTCTGATAAGGCTTCTTGCTCTGGTAAGATCAGCATTGGAGCTGTCTCTACCAGTTGGGCTTTGCTCTGCTGTAGGGTAATGTCCTTGGAGGTGCCTCTGGGGAAGAAAGCAGTCTTCCAGTTGCCAGTGTGCTCAGTGGATGAGCATAAAGGCTGCAGATCTCTCCCTGTCATGCTGGATGGCAGCTAGTTCCCTGCATTCTGGGAATTGGTATCTCTCTCTTGCTCCAGTCTTGCTCCTTGTTACATCTGCTTACATTTGGCCTCCCTTCTACAGCTACAGCAGGGGCTGAGAGCCCAGTGAAGGAGAGAGCTGGGGGGCAGGCAGATCCAAGGAGAATCTAGGTCCTCAGCATCACACCACTCCCCAGCAGCTCTCTGGAATGGGTCTCCATGTATGTAGGGTAGAGACCTGCTGTTATGGAGGTGTAGTCCCACAAACAGCCAAGTTTCTTGTGGATCATTCACATCTCATGAATGCTGAGGGCTCTTTTCCTGGCTCCCTGAGAATTGCTGTGTCCTTGCCATGCAGGCAGGTAGTCCCTGCTCAGGCCAGGGGAGCCTTCTCCAGAACAGCTTCCCTCTGCTGCAGAGGGAGACAACAGGAATGTGGAACGGATGGACAAGAGGCCTTCCAGTGGGAACAGAAATCTGACTGTTCTTCCACTGCGTCTCTGGTGGCTTTCTGCAGGGACCCTAAAGCTAGCTACTGATAGAGGCTGGTATATCATCAGATGATCAAGGAAAAGGCAAATAGAGCAACTTTCCCATAGATTTGCCTGTTCTCTTTAGTGCCACAGAGTTGCCTTCTTGGGATCTTAATCGCTGCATGCTACTTGGGACCTAGGCTGTCCAAAGGGATTTGCAATGTCTTATTTTTTGGAAAAGAGCTGTGAAAATGACCTTCTTGCCTTACAGCAAAAAACAATGTTCCATCTCAACTTGGAGAGGTCAGTGAACTGAGTAGTATACAAATATCTTCCTGGGGAGAAACCAATTAGGTACTAAAGAGATGAGGGAGTCTTAAGTATCACTGTAGTGGGAATGTACTGAGATTGATAAGTAGATATTATTATTTTAACTGCCTACCAGCTTGTTTCTTAGTATATAAATAGTACATTTTTAAGTGGGTTTAGAATAGCAATTGTAGCTGTCAGCAAACAACCCTTAACAGAAGAAAAGTATTAATGGTAATAGTCAGGAAAACTGGACAGAAATCGTTGTTTCTCCTTTCTGAGCATAGGTGTGGTAAGCTCTTTCCCAAGCAAGACCTCTCGAAGGGGTAGCTGGGTTGGGCTGTCCACTTGCTGGCACTGTGCTGAAAGGCCTTGGAAAGTCATTCTGCACGGTTTCTGTGGCACACTTGGGGAAGTGGCTTGGGGTTTGTGATCCATTTTGGAGCTGGTATATCTGAGTGTTAATGTGAGGAAAGTACTGGCTATATTCAGACTCCTCCATTCTGAAGGAATGCCTTGGGTAACTTCACAATTTTTTCTAAAAATGCTGCTTGTTCCCAAGTCTTCCCAGCACTTCCTAAGGCAGCATAGTGGTGCTGAGCTGCAGCAGCCCAGAGCCTTGCCCAAAAGGGAAGGAAAATGTCTCTTGTCATGTGGAGGCTGCCGGGGCTGGGCTTGTAGGGTTGTGCCAGCTCCATTTCCCCCCCTCTCCACCCTCCCTGCATGATGCATCTGGGAGTTTGGTCGTTAGCTCAAGCCAGTGGAACCTGTGCTTTTAGGTCAGTCTGAAAGCAATGATAAAACACCCCTCATAGCCTGCTAAAGAGCCTTCTGCCCAGTAGAGGAGAGAACTGAATCAGCCCTTTAGTGCCTGCTGTTCCTCAGCCAGAGCAGTGGATGCTTTAGTTCACTATCTTCATCATGTTGTTCAGGCAGACAGACATCTCTGATGAAGAAGCTCTCTGCAACCAAGCCAAGGGGCCCTCCCCTGCTCAGGTCCCTTTTCTGTTTCTCTGCCAGAAGGAGACTACCGGGAGCTTTACTTCAACTTTTCTGGTTGTGTTACTTTGTTTCTTGTATGACCTTGAGGCCAGGGCTTGGGGCATGGCATACCGAGACTGACTCTACCCTTGTTTTTCTGCCCAGGTCATCATTGAACGCTACAAAGGGGAGAAGCAGCTGCCAGTGCTGGACAAGACCAAGTTCCTTGTCCCAGACCATGTTAACATGAGTGAATTGGTCAAAATAATCCGGTGAGTGGGACAGCCAGGACTGGCATGCTCTAAACCCAGTCTTGCCCACAGGTCCTGAACACAGTGGGAGTGATGGGGTGAGGATGAGGTAGAGACAGCTGCTGAGGGTGGAGACTGAGGACAAGACATCCTTTTGCTGGGATACAGACTAGCAATGTGTGTGCCCAGTATCATAGCATCTGCTGAAACACAGTGGCCTCTGCCTCATTTGGCTACTCCATGAGCTGATGAGGAGGACTGCAATCCTCTCTTCCTGTATCCTGTCACTGAGATGGAAGAGACCTCTCTGCCTTAGGCAGCAGATCTGGCGGAAAGACACTTTGCAGATCCCCAACTCAGGAGCCCTTGGAGCCCAGAGCAGCTCCATACAGCTCATAAGCACCATGTCCTGAGCATGTGGGAGAAGGTCCTGGCCGTGCAGGCCTGACTCTGCATGAATGGCATTGAAGGGGGGGCAAGCAAGACTTGCTGTCACAGCGCCTTTCTATTCTTGTCCCCACAGGCGTCGCTTGCAGTTGAATCCCACCCAGGCTTTCTTCCTGCTGGTAAACCAACACAGCATGGTGAGCGTGTCTACCCCCATCTCGGAGATCTATGAGCAGGAGAAGGACGAGGATGGCTTCCTCTACATGGTCTATGCCTCACAGGAGACCTTTGGCTACTGAGCCCTTGTGAGAGATGGCATGCGGAGGCAGATGAACTGTGGTGCCCAGGCCCCCAGCTTTAGGAAGACGATACAACCAGAGGCTTGCAAGGGGGCTGTGCTGTCTCCCTTCATCATTACCCGGTCACCAAAAAGGCTCATGGTGTGTGTTGGACTTGCACAACCCTTCGCCTCTCTGTGTAGATTAGTCCCATTTCTCCGCGTGCAACCCCCCCCCATATGTGCATATACGTACACACATCCATGCGCACACACCAGGCCTCAGCTTCCCATCCCATCCCCTCAGTGTAACCTTCAGCTGCTCTCTGTGTGTTGTGTGTATGCGTGCATATTTCTAGCCTACTGCCAAAACAGTTTGGCTAGTGATGGGGAGAGGAGAAGGCAGTGTCACCCTGGCTTTCAGTACAGAGAAAGCTGCCTCCTCCTCCAAGACACTAGCAAAAGGCAGGAAGTCTGCAAAAACAGCAAACAAATGTTATCATTGCTCCTGAGTTTTAATTGATTTTAATTACACGCATATCAGATTCTTGGTGCTACTGAGTAGATGTAGGCATCTTTATAGGACTGTGGATAACGTATATCCTTTAGATTTATTTTACTGTTTTTTGGGGGGGATGGTTTGGAATGGGGAGATGGGGTAATCTTTCTTGTATTCTGTAGGTAAGTAAGACAGGCTTTGTTGCACTTTAAAGCATAATAGATGTAAGAGTGGAATATCCTCTTAATTTATACGTTTGCCATATATAGTGCTGCTCCTCTGTTGACAGTTGTACCTAGATTGTCTTTTTCTTTTGTTAATAAAATTGACTTCCCCTCTCTCTGTCTCCCCATTGCTTGCAATTTTTTCCTCTCAATGTGGCAAAGAGACAGTTCACTCAAGGATGTACTGATTTATATTTGCTACGTTCCCCTTCCTATTTTTCATGTGTTGTTCCCCCAAAATGTATATGATAAAAATTCCACCCAATTTAATCTATACAAATGTGTATATATAAATATATATATAAATAAATATAAATTCAAGTTGAGTCTTGTAGGAATGTTCTATTCCTATTGCATTTGTCTGTGTTGATATCCCTAGTAGCAGGTAAGAGTGATGCACGTTGGCTGGGGCATTGTATGCCCAGTGCTTGGAAGTGGTTAGTTCAAGCTGTGGCAAAGGGGGCTGGATGAGGTTTAGGGTGGAAGGTGGAAGCTTGATCTAGAGAACAGAGCACTAAATGGTGATTGGGGAAACCTGGTTATCCTTGACCTACATGTGAGGTAGTGTTAGGTAGGTCTCCTGTCCTGCAACCAAGTTTTCCTCAGCTATAAAAACGTGGACCCAATAAGGAAAGATGCATGAATGCTGGTTGTTTTGCTCATGATATAAAAAGGAATGAAACCTGGAAATAGGTGTGGCAGTTCTAGAGGACAATTTTAATCCCCTTTAGTACCCCTTATCCCAGGTATGTACACCCTAATGCCTACTCTTTAGGCCAAACATATTGGTTCTGGGCTGGTGTGCAACAGACCTGGCTGAATCTTTGCATGCTACCAGGACCATGGTGATCTTTTAAGACAAATCTGAGCACTGCAAGCCCACTTCACCTCTCAGCAACCCCCACCATGAGAACTGCGCCTGGGTGCAAACTACAAGGCTATGTGGAAGTTCTGAGCAGAACAACAAAAAAACAAAAAAAAAAACAAAAAACAAATGGAGCTGTCTGGGGCACACAGAAAGGCAAAGTGATGACTCTTGGGGGGGAATAGCACCGAGAGGCACATAGAGGATTTGGGGTGGCACTGAACGGGTATGTTCCCATAGATTTACCCATCTCCCAGGTGGAACAGGGTTGGTCCAGTAACTGCAAATGCCTCCCGGTCTGTGGCAGCCTGACATGCTGGCAGCTACAATGGTTCCAGGCTCCTGCTTAGCCAAAACAGGTCTGAGAAGCGAGAAGGAAGTGGCACCTGCATCGTGCCACAACCCCTGTGCAATGCTTGCTGGGTTGGCAGAGACCGGTGGTATCACAGCTACTGCAACAGGCCACATGCTACAGTGAATTCATGGAAGGCATTTGACTGC